AATCCACACTTCTAGTCTTTCCACTTGCTCCCTATAGACTTCATTAGATATCCTTTCATCCACTCTTTTGCATCAGTGCTTGCCTATAATTCCATTCAAAAACCACTAATAACATGCAAAAGCTATATATAATCACTTAGTAACTATTAAAGAATTTCAAAAATTTTCACATTTATTTCATCCCATATTCTTTCTTTATACTCGTTGGGAACAACACGCCACTCGTGCCAATTTAAGGGTGTCATGGTCCCATTTCAAGCTCTCATGCCTAAACGAGATTGAAGTGGAGAAGCTTTTTCACCAATTGGTTGTTTTAATTCATTTTCGTCAATGTGTAGCACACTGTTTCCATGCGTCGAGTTAGGACCTCTAGTTCGTCTCTGTATAGAATTCGAGGAATTGGAACCTACACTTAAAAAAAATTGTTGAGTGATTACAATATCATGTTTAGTGATTATTATTACTAGCTATTCCTTCATTACTAAAATATACCATCGTCGTTGCGTGATGAATTGTCATCATTGCCTAGTGATTGGCTACAAGATGGATGGTTGGTACTAAAACCTGAATTATAAATACTTAAATTATTAAACATATAATTGTATGCACAATATCAAATTGTGAGAAAAACATAATCTACAACCAAATGATGTACTTGGGAGGCTAGAAGTAGGGTGCCACCATGATGGTGGTTCTGGAATCATCTACACATTCTCCACCATAACAAACTATGAACCATTTATGAATATACAAGAGTTTGGAAGTGTGTCATCAAGATACAAAGACTAAGTAGTTTCATGATATTAAAAGAGAGCTCGAAATTTTACATTGCAATGAAAATCCAAAACAATTAAATGTAAAAAGTCTCAGGATATTAAAAAAAAACAATTCATATATCATTCATCATCATAACTATGAACTGTGGTTCCAACAGCACCTTGTCTAACCTAGACCATGTTGTTGTCATCATGATCGATAACAGTTTCATCTAAATCTTGTTGCTCATATTCTTTCACCTGGTTATGTTGTATCCTAGCATCTTCTCTTGGTTATTGTCCATAGACTTCAAATAAATCTCTAGGTTTCACCTTGATGACTATTTTCTAATCTCCTTCAATGGGATCTTGTACATAGAATCAGTTAGTCAAGAGTTTTCCAAACAAGAGAATCAGTTGGATGTCTTGGTATCCCATTATTTGTTTGATCTGTTGCATGCCATTTCATCAATAATGTTGCTTTTGATGACATAAACAATCTCTGAAATCTCAGTATTCAAGGAAAAATACCTTACAACTTTTTACGGTATTTTTTGCTCTCCAATATTTATTTCATCTCCTTGGCCATCAATTTATTTATATCTAGATGTTAAATGGTAATTTCTGGGATTTTTTAGAAAATTTCAAAAAACTATGGATTTTTATGAGAAATTATGTGAAATGGTGGAAAGGTAATTTGAGGATTTTGTAATAAAAAATATGCTGATGTTATCAAATTTTAACAATCTATCAAAAGGACCTTGATGACAAGAGATCTAGGGGTTACGTATGCATATACCTCAAGGAGTTCTAGTGTTATTTGTCAAATTTTAGAGGACTATCTAATTAAGTGATAAACGTCTGGGTGTCTGAATATAATTTAACTTTATATTAGCGATTTTGCATTGTTTGACTAAATAAATTTTTTTACGAGATAGAAAGCTTGGCTTGTGGAATGCCATGAACCTTTTTTATAATTTGGGAATACAAAGTATGCATATTATTACACTACGGTTCTCAATCTTTCAATTATGTCAGTTTAGGTCATAAAGTTTGTAATTTGACACTAAAGGATTCAATTTAAAATGATGATGTATATATATATATATATATATATATATATATAATAAAACACATTCCAACTTGAATTTTTATCCCATACATATTTTTCCTCTTAAAAATATCATATCACTTATTTCTCTCACATGTCAATCATTCAATATTTAATTAATTTGTAGTTTAACATAATTTTTATTTTAAACATATTGAAAAAATGTTAAAAACGATAGTATATATATATTAAAAAATTTAATATAATGATAATAAGTTTTTGGGAATTCAAATTTTATATTTCATTATGTCTTCAAGAACGAGTTATGATTAGTATATATATACATTAGCTAGTTTAAACTCGAGGAATATTGAAAAGTTTCAAAGATAAGATGACAGTTGAAATAATAGGCAACAAAGTAAAGCAGAGATTTTAATTTGGGGACGGATACCTGATTTCTTCTTCTTTTTTTTTTTCTTTTTTTGGGCTATAAAATGTGCGGTCTTATGATTTCTAATGCAGTGAAGGAAAATGTGGCATCTAACAGTATAATTAGAAAGGTAAAAAGGTATATGGAATATGGAGGTGTAACAGTTTAAAGAAAAGTTGGATGGGATTCAGAGAAAACGAAAATTTATTGGAGGTCAAAGTGGTCAGCAAATTATGAGGAAAAAGGGTGGAATGTTTCAAAAGAATGTCAACAAATGATCCTGAATTTCGGCAGCTTCTGTGTGGTTAGTATTAGAGTATTCTTGGATTAGGTTTTAAAAGAAATATTAGATTATGGGTTAGGTATTAGGTGGGCAGACAAATTCTTTCGTGATCTTAAAGAAATCTCTCTCTCTCTCTCTCTCTCTCTCTCTATATATATATATATATATATATATAAACGACATTTCTGTAACCAAATAAGCCTGTTGACAACCTATAAATTTTTTTTGTTGACAAGTTGGTCGGAATAAATCAGAAGATGGAGATTCTTGGGGTTCCCCAATAAATTAATAACTCTCTCTCTCTCTCTCTTTCTCTTGTGGGATAAGCTTAGGAACAATGTTTAGTGTTTTGGAATTTCTCTGCGGTGAAGATTTTTGACCTACCACTCAACATGGATTCATTGTTAATTCATTAATTCAGTACGTCTCATAATATTGCAAGCAATAAACGACAATGAAATTTCTTACCCACCGCCCGCGCGGGGGGGGTGGGGCTTGCGTTGTGATAATTTGAATTCTTCTAAAAAATAATCTCAAAACTTCATCACTTCGTCAACGAGGAAGAATGTCGATTATCACCTCCCCCCTCTTCATCCCACCCCAAATTATTTGGTCAGCTTTTCTTTATGCCGCCAAACTTTATAGTTGACAGTCTCGAAAATATAAAGTCCATATGCGAACTAGAAAAAAAACCGGAATAGCTTGTACACTTATTTTGGTCCTATAAATTAATAATGGTTTTAATATGAAGGGAATTGTTGGATGATTTTCACCTACTCTTCTACCTTATTTATAGGCAAAAAAAAGATAACAAAGATAAGTTACAATAATATATTCCTATCTTCCTATCACAATTTCGTAGGAGTAGATTAGGCACGAGAAATTATCTTCATTGCTCATCCTTAGCGTTATCCTTATCACCCCCCTCAAGATGAGTGTGGGTGGAGCCATCACACCCAGCTTTTGTGCAAAATTGGCAAGGGGAGAGTTTGGAAAACTTTTGGTGAAAATGTTTGCTAGCTGGTGGGTCGAAGGAATAAACCGCACATCCAATGATCCAGAGGTTACCTTTTCTCGAACAAAAATCGAGTTTGATGTGTTTGGTGCAAGCGTTGAATACTGGATTAGAGCCCATGGACATGGCGCTGCTGTTATCACAGAATAAAGTGGGAATCTTGGGCAAGGTGACCTATCAATCTTGAAGTAAGTAGGTGATCCAAGTCATATCGGCAGCTGCATGAGCAAGAGCTCGATATTCGGCTTCAGCACTCGAGCGAGCAACAATAGGCTGTTTCTTGGAGCTCCAAGAGATACATGTATCACCAAGGAAGATGGCATAGCTGGTGGTAGACTGACGGATGTTTAGGCATCTTGCCCAATAGGCATCACTATATGCAATTAAATCAAGAGAAGTGCAATGACTAAGAAAAAGTCCATGACATAAGGTGCCATTCACATAATGGAGGATGCGCTTAACCACCTGGAGATAGCTTGTTGTACGAGTATGCATATGTTAACAGACCGAATTAATGTTGAAAGCAATATTAGGTCGTGTTATCGTCAAATATTTTACGGCACCTACAAGACTCCGGAAATGAGTTGGATCTTCAAGGAGCAAACCAATGCTTGAGAGCTTTTTGTTTATAGTCATGGGGGTTGGAATTGGTTTGCGGTCCAACATGGAGGCACGGTGGAGCAAGTCATGAGCATAGTTGCCCTGAGAGAGAAACATGTCGCGAGGAAAAGAGAAGGCTTCAATACCCAAGAAGTAGTGAAGAGGGCCAAGGTCCTTCATGGATAATTCAAGACTTAGTTTGACGATTTTATCACGGAGAAGAAGGTTGGAGCTGCTGGCGATGATTATGTCATTGACGTAGAGTAGGATAACAACCGAAGCACCACAATCATGAAGAGTGCTTGACAGAGGTCGTAGAGTGCTTTGTCAAGATGACACACATGTTGTGGGCAAGTAGAATCAGTGAAGCTAGGTGGTTGTGAAAGGTAAACTTACTCTTTGAGAATCCCATGCAAGAAGGCATTTTTGACATCTAATTGGTGGATAGTATAGCTGCGAGCAACGACCACAAAGAGTATGGTTCGAGTAGTAGTGACCTCGACAACGGTCGTGAAAGTCTCATCAAAATCAATGCCATGCAGTTGGGAATATCCATTAACAACAAGTTGAGCTTTATGATGACGTTCAATGGTGCCGGAGGGCAGAAATTAGGTCTTGAATACCCATTTTGTGGGGATGACATGCATGTTGGAATGATGTGGAACCAAGACCCATGTGTGATTATGATGATGTGCATCCAACTTGTCTTCAATTGCAGCACGCCAATGAGAAATTTATAATGCTACTGTGAAAGAAGTAGGTTCAGTAGTGGCATCCATGGCAGCAAGGAAGCAAGAATGACTAGGAGAAATAGCCAAGGACAACGTAACAGAATCATGGGCATGTGGGGAACAACATGCCTTACTCTAAGTGACCATGTGATGGATAGAATTGGAAGCAGGAACAGATGAGGTATGCTGATGTAATGGTGGTTGAAAAGGAAGGACAACTTTCAAGTGTCCACCCTCTAGAGTGAGGCGATCTTGGTGGTGTGATGTCGGCTGGTCCAATGGCTGAACCGAACATACAGGGTGGAGCAGTGAAGGATGAGTTTGTTTGGGAATAGCTTCACTAACCACCAATGGGAAGAGAGGCAATGTCGAAGTAGTGGGAAGTTGCATTTGAGGAGGAAGAAACATCTCAGGATAAAGCCAGTGGTCCAGGAGATTGGATTGAAGAGCTGCACCTTGGAGAGTGGACGACAATTGAAGAGAGTTGACTTGATCCAAAATGTGTACACCCAAGTGCAGGCAGTCAAGCTGTAATAATCCGGTTAAGTCCGGAGTCAATCCACATGGAACTATGATTAGTGTTTTTGAAGTAAGCAGTGATAGAGACCAAATAACTGGAAACCTTGAGAGTTTGAAATTATGGAATTTTTCGAATAGAATATAAGATTCTTTCCAAGAGTTTTCTAGATAAAATATAAGATAAATTCAAATGTGAAACAGTCACCCTTTAGCTCGAGGATCAGAACATATAGCTAATCATCTAGTTTATTATACTTGTGTTTTATAACTCAATTAACTCTCGTGTCAACAACAAGTTAATTGAAAGATAAAGACGGACTGTAAGAATTAAGCACATGATTCTTATGCCTTTCTAGAAGTTTACAAGAATTGTCTATGCTGAGACTCAACCCGTCTACAAACAAGCAAGTGTTTCTACAAGGCATCCAACCATGACATTAATGGTCCATTCTTTAGATAAAGTACAATAATGGTGAAGATTGAAATATTGTCATAAAGATCTAGCTGGGATACTTGCCTTGAACCAACGAGTCTTTCTATACAAGAGTCATCCATGACATAGAAAGATCTCACAGTTATACAAAGTACCTTAGCTTTGCTAGATACATTCAATCATTCAATGAGCAAGTGAAATATAGAGCATTAAAGCATAAAAGAAATGCACAAATATAATTTTCGAATAATTTATACATATTCATCACCTCTCACTAAAGAGTTAATAAGGAACTACTCACTCTTCATGGTTTGGATAAAGTTAGAAAAGTGGGTGATACTCATCCCTCCAAGTAGAAAACTTACAAAGTAAAGTACAATAAGCGAAGAGTCGATCTTCAATGAAAAATGGGTGAATCACATTCTACCTTTCACGGCTTTGGTAAAGCTCTAGAAAAATGAAAGAGTTTCACTCTTCTATGAAAGAAGGAAGCTCAAGCAATGGAAGTGAAAGACATGAACAATAAAAGTAGAAGAAAGCTAGTCACATTTGGAGGGTGACTTCCTCAACCAAGAAATGGAAGGTTTCTTCCTCAACCAAAAGATGAACTATCTCCCGTGATACAAGCAAATATATCTCTAAAGCTAGCTACATGAGTGAAAGTCTAAGCCTCCATCAAGATCCCTATCTATCTAAGTCTTCATGAAGCTCCCACAATGGGAGTATTTATAGGCAAGGAGGAGGAGGGGGTGGTGAAAGAATAGTGTATCCCGCCCAAGTCCAAGTGAAAGGCAACCACTTTGCAACCCAGTCTATTTGAGGAGAATGTTCGAACGTGAGTTGACATTCGAATGTGGTACTCAACTTTTTTAAGGTCTTCTTTCTTGGCTGCGACACGCCATGTCTCAGCAATCTGGTCTTTTCATAGTTCAAGTGTATGTTTGAACGAGAGTTGGCGTTCGAACGTTCTTGCTTTATTCCAAGCTTCTCCAATTTTGTCCCCAATATGCTGGTGTTCATCCAAGTGTGAGTTTTGTTTTTCTTGAGCTCTTAAATATCATCACTTAAACTCCATCAAAGTACAATTAGTCCTAAAAAGGCATAGTAATATGCTAAATTTAAGTACTAATCAAGAGCCACGAGAATTACAAGGACATATAGTTTCGTCGAAAATGACAAGGCAAGAAATATACACTCGGCCTGATGATGGTTCCAAACAAAGAGATACTTTATGAAATTCACTGATGCTCCAGAACATACATGGTAAACTTTTTGGGCTAAATTTGTGTTTCTAATACTCTAATAACACTGGATAACATAAACACCCAAAAGGTCGAATTAAAGAATAATCAACATTGTGGTCAAAAAACATGTAGAATGGGCTATTATTATGAAAAATAGGTGAGGGAAACCTTTTAATCAGATAAAACGCCATAGAGAAAGCTTTAACCCAAAAGTTGAGTGGTATATGACTGTGGAATAAAAGGGTTAAACCCGTTTCTATGAGATGTTGCTATTTGCATTCGACCTTCCTATTTTGTTGAGTACGAGGACAGGATAATTGTCAAACAATAACTTTATAGGCCAAAAAATTATCGAAAGGACTAGAAGTGTATTCACCACCATTATCGCTCATGAAGAATTTGAAACAAGCGTAAAAAATGTTGGCCATCATAGTGTCAAATTTAACAAAACGTAAGAGAATGTCGGACTTGTTCTTTAGAGGATAAAACCAAGTGTATTGAGTAGCATCATCCACAAATATAACATAATAGTGGGAACCAGAAAGAGAGGCAATGAGAGCTGGGCTCCAAACATTTGAATGAATTTTAATAAAAGGTTTATTACATCTAGAATCACTTAAAATGAAAGGTAAATGACACCCTTTACTTGTAGTGTCTTGAGCACCTGAAGGTAATGATAGCCGAGGCATTGATGCCATATGTCAACCATTACTTTAGCATTTGGAGAAGGATGAATAGCCACCAATGTAGCATTAGTGGTGAGGAAGGTGTAGAGACCTCTAAATCTATGACCTGTCATCAGGTTTTGTCCTGTCTTGTGATCCTTGATAGAGAAACCAAAATGAGAGAATTCTAAAGTAAAATAATGATCATCTAATAGCAGGCTGACAAACAGTAAATTTTTGTGAATGCCCAAGACCAAAAGAACATTACGTAGTTGTATCATACAACCACGAAATGGAAGTAAGACGAATCCTCTGTGAGTAGCCCATAATTGAGCACCATTACCCACAAATACTTGGGCAGTAGAAGGACAAGGGTGAAGAGAAGTAAAAATACCTAGATTTCCAGTCATATGAGAAGTGGCACCACTGTCGGGATACCAATTAGGATCACTTGAATCATCCAAGGAGAGAGCGGAGAGTGCAGAAGGAATACATATGATTGTAACGATGCCAACAGTCAAGGGCACTGTGACCTCATTTACCATAAATTTGGCAGTCCAAAATAAAAGTGGATCAATTGTTGGGCTCTCGTTTGGAAGAATCAAAAGATTGGGAAGGTGCACCACTGCAAAAAATTGATGTTGGAGTTGGAACTAGGATATTGTGACCGATGGCTTCTTTGACGGTGGGTTTGGGAGGCTCTATCTTTATTATAGTAGGATTTTTGGGAAGGAGCACTTTGTGTAGCAAAGGCAAGATTGAGCCTGTCGTGATTTTTAGATGAAATTCGCACCTTTTGACTGATAAGATTCAGGACAAGTTCTTCATAGAGCAGAAAAGGAGGCCAAGTTGAGAACCAAGGTTGCAAAAGTGTTATATTCGAGACCAAGATCGGTATGGACAAAATGAACCTTGTCGACATCTGAAAGTGGCGCTCCAATGGCAGCAAGAGTATCAAACATCCCTTTAAGTTGATGAAGGTCCCTTTTTGTTATTATTGAGTTGATGACGAATACAATGAATCTGGCCTTGAGAACGTTGTTGGTATGTGTCAGTGAAGAACTTCCATGTTTCGTAAGAAGTATCTAACCCCATAACTTCTGCGATTAATGTGGCATTGATCCAACTAAGGAGAGTTTGATCGATTATCAACCAACTCTCATGTTCAAGATTTGGAAGCTCCAGATCAATTTTCTGAATGGTGGCCAGGGCCTGGGTATTTTTCCCTCAATAAAGGATAGTAATTTGTGACTCTGAAGAATCAGAATAAATTGATTTTTCTAGAGGAGGTAATTTGTGGAATTGAGGCAGATAGATATGATATTGGTAATAATGGATAAGGAAATAGTAGGCTGAAGGGAAATGGAGGTACATACACCATTTGTGGCTACAGTGAGAATGGCAATGTTGGCTATGGTGGAAGGGTTGGCTGTCATTGTGAAAAGGAAAAAAAGAAAAAAAAGAAAAAATTGATATCAAGAGACCAAGGGCTTTGATACATTAATATTGGTTTTAATATGAACAGAATTTTTGGATGATTTCCATCCACTCCTTTACTTTATTTATAGGCAAAAAAGGATAAAAAAATGTAAGTTACAATAATATATTGCTATCTTCCTATCACAATTTCGTAGGAGTAGATTATGCACAAGAAACCATCTTCATTGCTCATCCTTAGCATTATCCTTATCATAAATACCCCATTCTTGATTTTTTTTTAAAAAAAATTTCTTTTATTCTTTAACCCTGAACATAATTCTAGAGGGACATCTAGAGAGAGAATGTGGGATAAGGATAGAAGATGTTAGGGTTCTAGAACTTGGAATGTTAAGGTTTTTTCCCATTCCTAAACATCGGGCATGACCGTTAAAAACAAGATTTATTGGCGATTCTTGGCTATGAATCTGTTATAGTTAAATTGATTTTGAATTCATCAGAACTTTGATGTGTTTGGACATGAATCTATGAATTTCTCACTATGGATGTTACGGGTTCACAAACCCTAGTTTTTGGACATTCGTTTACATTAAAACTTGATTTATCACGATGGATTTTATTATTATATACATGTTTTTACAAAATTTGTTAGATATAGATTTATAATTGACTAATTTCGTGGAGTCTATCGTAAACCTTAACCTATTTCGCGGTCATTATGCTATAAAAATTACAGATCCAAAAGTGTCACTAAGTGGAGGAGATCAAGCGACAAACCTACATCATTCACACTCCGAATGCACCTTCAAGTTTAGGATAAAGGTAATGACTTAGATACCTAAGATGATCCCTTGGTAACAAACTTAGGATGATTAGGGTTAAATGGAATTGAAAACAATCCATGTGTGGCTCTTGGGTGTTTTTCAATAAAAATATTTTCTAAAACTATTTCATATTTTTGAAACCATAGTTTGAACCATTATCGGACCTCTCTTATGCAATACCTTTTATTACTCAAGATAACAAGTTTTTTGCTTAAAAAACTAGTGGGGACTACCCTATGCGATCTCTTGATAATTTAATGGAAACTAAAGGAAAAGGCAAAATGGAGAAAAATACGGCATGCCCTCTTAGCTCGGTTTGAAATGTGATTTTCATTCCAATGACCATCGCCCTGTGACCGCTCTCCAACCGATCAAGCAGTCGTTTGCAAATCTAAATTTTCTTGTTGACCAAGATTACACTTATTCCAAGCCTACAAATACGGAGTG